GCCCAGCACGTGTCCCCACGCCTCCCAAATGCTGGGCGAGTGAACGGCTTTGTTCCCAGGAACGACACCGCGCAGCATGTAGCGTCTGCAAGCGCGTGCGCACCTCTGGGGCCACGGTCGGGCATGAGAAGGCTGGTGAGACAGCTGGTGAGACGGCGGCCCCTGGGCTGCGCCAAAGCGCCACGCGCGCCACACCCGCGGCATCAATGGGCATTCAAAGGCAGAAGCGGAAATGGACACGTCACCTAGGAAAGGAACTGCTCCCAGCACGGAGACATCTCCATTCAAAACATGGCGCCCATGTTAACAGGAGGCCGACTCGAGGCTGCCAGGACTGCCCGGCAGCTCGTCACGGAACAGGGGAGTGTTGTTCTAAGTGCGGTGCCAGGCATGTTCGAGGCATGTTCTCCTCGGCGTGCACTTCTATTCCGTTTTCTCCAGGCCACTTGCTAGGCATGCAGGCTGGTGGCCACACACACACACCTGCATGCACACACCTGCACACACATGCACACGTGCGCACCCCCCCCCCCCCCCCCCCGCGCACCCGCAGTAATTCCTCAGAGCCGCTCACGCCGTGGAAATTTGCAAGAGCTAAAAACAGCTCAAAGTCCAGGGGCTGTGAGCAGCTGCTGAAATGAAAACCCAGGCTGACACACATCCTCCCCCAGCTCATCCGGCTTAGGGCTGCGGGAAGTGTCTGTGAAGGAAAACTAATTTAGAAAGTGCAAGTAGTTAAGCGTCTCCCCAGGACCCTGTGCTCCCCGCAGGACATGCACATGGTCTGTTCCACGATGCCTCCACAGTCACAGACCATTAATGTGAGCAGCCCTGGCAGCACCCCGAGGCCAGGGGCGGCCCCACCGCGATGGAGAGCAGCCCCCGCAGAACCCTGGCTCCTGAGCGTGGCGAGAGCTGTTCCTGCTTCCTGCACAGTGTCGTTTTAGCTTTAGTGACAGTCCTGGCATCACAGGTTTGTTCATTAGCATCGCCGAGGCCTAAGGTTAGGAAAGCTGTGGAGAGCATCGCCCTGATTGTGTGGGTGGTTTTCTCCGCTTTATTCGAGAAAGGAGGCGCCGATGCCATGCACATCCCGGAACCTCCCCTCCCATGTGTGAAGGCAGCGCTTTCCAAAGGGGCCGCCGCCTGAGGCCTGCGCTGGCGAGCATGGCCCCCCCCTCGCCCCATCCCCCCCCCCCGCCCACCCGGGGCTTCCCAGGCACGCCCAAAGCCCGTCTCTGCTGGGGGAGGAGGCCAGTGCCTGGATGGACCAGTGGATCGATCCAGCTGACGGGGAGGGTTCCGCAGATAACTCCCAGTCCCTGCAGCGTGGCTCATTCCCGATGCTCCGAGGCCACTCTGCCCCACGGAGGCCAGGCCCTGAGCCGCCACCTAACACACCGCGTGTCAGGGGAACACACATTAGCGCCCGGGGCCGGGGGAGGGACGCAATCCGAGGGCAGCTCATTTCCATACACAACTGTCACCTGGCCACAATGCATTCTCCCTGACCAACTGTCAGGGACACAGCGTGTAAGAACAGTGATTTTTATTCCTGTGGCAGAAAAAGGAGCAGGAGAAAAAGTGATTAAAGTATCGACGTTGTTGGCCCCGCCTTCTCACTGGAGAACAGAAAGCGGGGACGTGCCTGCCTCCTCTCGCTGTCACACGGCGTCTGCCACGTGTGGCTACCGGACGGTGCTGCGTGTCCCCTCCACGCCCACGCCCGCACCCGCACCAGTTCTGAAAGGGTCCCTTTGGCTACCAGAGCTTATCTGAGATGAAAACTAAACACTGTCCTCATCTCAGTATCAGTTAAAAAAACACAAAAGCAAACCTGGGGGTGTGCAGGGAGCCTGAGCGCTGGCCTCGGCCTGCGGGGCGCACCGGCTCTGAGTCTCCCACTTCCCAGTAGGTCCCCGTGGGGCCCCGGCCCCACGCCAGCTGTGCCCCTCAGCGACCCCCCCCCCCCTCCGCTCCCTCCCCCGCTCCCCGCGTGCGAGCGAGACACACAGGCGGATGCGAAAGTGCTGCCACGGGCCAGGCTGCATCTCCAGCGTGAGGACAAACAGGCTCTCACCTGTTTCTGCCTGCACACACGGGCCTCATGGCAGTGGACGAGAGCATTCTCTCTCTCTTTCTCCCCCTCGTTCTAATTGATTTTTAGAGAGAGGAAGGTGGAGGGAGAGAGAGAAACAGCAATGTGAGAGCAAAACATCAATTGGCCGCCACCAGCACGCCCCTCCTGAGGGCTGAGCCCACGGCCCAGGCGTATGCCCTGCCCGGGGATTGCACAGGGGTCTGTGGGCCACACGCAGCCCGCTGGGCCACCCGGCCCGGAGGAGCCTGCTTTCTTATCAGCCTCGAGCTGACAGGAGGAGCCGCTGCCTGTACCCTCAGGCCTCTCTCAGGAGAAGCACCGCGCGAAGGGCAGCGTTCAGCTGGTGACACGGAGGACGGTGACCGGTCCTCCCCAAGCACCTCAGCAGCAGCGGACAGAAGTGCCGGGGACAGTCCGTCCTTCTGTCCGTTCCTCGCTGTGTGTTTCCTGTCGTCTCCCCAGAGAAGCTGGTCCTGGGGAAGGACTGCACGGCTGTTTCTCGGAGGATGGAGATGAAGGGAGACGGCGCCGTGCTGAACGTGTTAACTCCACAGAAGGGATGCCCGGCGACCTGCCCAAGCCTTCGCTCGTGAGCGGACTGGGTGGCAGCCCTCTGCCAGGGCCACCCTCTCAGCCGTTCACACTCTTACTCCGAACACACACAGCCCAGCACGGAGGAGGGAGACGGAGGGGAGGCGTCATGGGGGTCTTTACGACGCCTGGACCACGTGTGACCTGAGGGACCAGGTACCCATCCTCCCCACCTCCCACCTCAGCCCCTGAGCCATGCTCACTGCCAATGTGGCCAGATGACATGGAAGCTTCTGCTGGGACAAGTGCTGTGAGTCGGGGGCTCTCCTAGTCCCCGCCGGCTGCACTGGGAGTGAGCTTCCTGCGATGTCACGAGAAAAAGGATTTTCTGAGACTCGCCCGCCTGGGAGGATGGGAAGTTGCAGAAAGCTGTATTTCTGGGGACAGTCCGTCAGTCCATTGCGTCGGGATCCGCAGGGCCACCTGGTTCTCTAGGGACCCTGGGCGGATGCAAGGGAACCGCACAGAGCACAGAGCGCCAAGCACCAAGAGAGCGTGCTCCTTTGATGGGGGGGAGTTGGGGGGGTAATTGCATTCCCCAATTTCCCCGGCTTGCATTGGCTCCACCCCCTTCAGCCAACCCATGGTCCTCCAGGCTTGACTGACAGGCACCTTCCCTGTGTCACCCTGACTTCACTGCGCATGCGTCCACCGCCCCCTTGTGGACCACTCCCCCCAGGGGTCCTCAGGGAGTAGCCAGTGGGTCCCTGGGGAGTGCAACGTTGTAGCTTCCTGGTGAAGCTGCCCAGATGACATGACTATGATGGCTGGACTCCCCCCTGTTCCTTTCCTATCCTATATAATAAAACCCTAATATGCAAATCGACCAAACGGTGGAAGGACCGGTCACTGTGATGCACACTGACCACCAGGGGGCAGATGCTCAATGCAGGAGCCGCCCCCTGGTGATCAGTGCGCTCCCACAGGAGAAGTGCCTCTCAGCCAGAAGCCGGCTCACGGCTGGCAAGTGCAGCGGCGGTGGCTGAGCCTCTCCCACTCCACAGCAGTCGTACATCCCCCGAGAGCTCCAGGACTATGAGAGGGAGCACACCAGGCTGAGGGACCCACCCCCCAGTGCACGAATTTCGTGCGCTGGGCCTCTGGTTATTAATAACAAGCTAATTACAACAGTGTCATAAAGACGTTGCTTTTTTCCCCCCTTGAGTGTGTGAAACCAGTCACTTAAACAAAAAGTTTAGCTTGCAAACTTCTGGTTGGCAAAGAATAATGATACCCCCCATCTCCCCACTACTCTGGATTAGATTATCTCATGCAATGGACTAGAAATGGAAAATTCTGTCTCATTTAAAGTAAATAAATACATAAAACCCTTGACAGCTGATTTGAAAATTGACCTTGAAGTCATTTAGCTGTCTGCTCCTTTTGCCTTAGTATTTCCATCCATCAGGGAATTAGTTTGGTCCATAAATGTCATCGATGTGGAATCTAAAGTCACCAAATTAAACAACCAGATTTCAAGTTCTCTTCTTGATGCAGTGCACCTTAAGCTTGAAGCCGCCCGAGGATGAATCATGCAGCCACTCAGCGTCTCGCTTGCTGCGTCTCTTTGGTAAGTGACAGAGAAATGACTGCAGTGCCTGTGCGTTTCAGTAAGAACGCTGAGCTCCAGGATGACTGTGACGTGTATGGGGTATAAGAGAGGGTTTGTGGGGAAGAGAACGCGGTGTCACCCTCCACGGAGGAGATGAAAAGGAGGATTGGGGAGTCCCGGCGAAGCTGCTGGTCGCTTTGCAGAAAGGACACAGCCTGGGATCAGGTGAAGGAACTTGCGCTCTCACGGGGCAGTGGAGGGGTCTGGGGGAATCCAGTCCAAGTCAGAGGCTCTGGGGGGACAGGGAAGGAGGGGTTGCCCACTGCAACAGACTATGGGCTGGCTGGTCCGAATACTGGTTCACATTTTATTATTTTTAAAAACATATAAGCACACATTTACATAGCAATCTTTTGATGGACGAGCGAAGCTTTTTCAATTTTTTAAAGTGCAGGTCTGCATGCTGGAATGTTGAATCACTGTTCTTTTATAATCAGTTTTTCTGCTGTTTCCAATTCAATTACTTCCAGGGAAAATGAGGACAGAGCAGCAGCTGCCAATCAGCTCTCTGTGTTTCCCTGTGGTGGCTGCGGGCTTGGACGTGTGACCTCGGCTGAGCCAGTGGACTTCGGACTGGGAGCTGCCTGTCATGCTTGTTCCCACCAGGGCGGGGCTGAGAGAGAGACTATATTCCTGGGCACCATCCTCAGCCACCACACGTGGGCAGAGCCTCCCCCGGGGGTGCTGGCAGAGCTTCCCGGAACCGCCTCTGGGGAAACACAGCTGCTCAATGAGGGCGTGGCCGAGCTCAGAACCTTTCTGTCTTGGACTAGATTCTGTTTCATTTATTTCCTTCAGTGCTAAGCACATCGTGTCACAGGAATGCTTGTCAGCATTAGAAAAACTTACGTCTGAATGTTTACCCCTTTGGATCATTTCTTTTTTAAAAGAAGAGCGAGCGTGCAAAGAGCACGATTAAACGGAGCAACACAGGCCTAGACACCTTTCTAGGAGCCTCATGTGCCATGCGCTTTGCCGGAATAAAATCCATTCAGCGAGCCTCCCCTCCTCCTCCTGTTGTTTACTTGGCTTCAATACCACGTGACCCTCGGGCCCGGGAAACGCTGACCCTGAAGGGCCCCATCCTCCCGCGTGGGCTGCCTCTCCTGTCCCGGGCCTCGCACCGAGACCCCACACCGCTGGTGTCACGGACAGCAGCCGAAGGCAAGTGTCGCTTTGCCTTGTTGCCATTGTCATGATTATTTACACTCACGCAGACCCCCAGCGGGACCACACGCACGCTCACAGGGTGCAGCGGGGCCCGCAGCCCGGCCGTGCAGCAGGCGGCTGAGTGGCTGTGGACGCGGCGCTGATCTGGGGGAGGCGCCGATGAATATGCGATGAATATGCATCGCCCTGCCCTCATCTCCGGACAGAGATGATCGATACCGGGCCGGGGCTGCGTCCACCAGCGCACAGGAAGCTCCGGGGAGAGGCCGGGCCTCGCTCCCGCTCATGGTCACGGCCACGGACAAGGACGCGCCGGAGGCTTCCCCGCGGCCGTCCGGAGGGCCCTCATTATCCACGCGGATCACGATGATGAATGCCAGCTTGTCCTCGCCGCTGAGAACAGCCTGAGTGAAAGCCGTCCTGGCCTCCTGCTCTGACTGCAAGGGCTGGTTCCTTCTCTGTGTTCGCCTCGTTAATCCCCTAAATGGACCGATGGCTGCATTTCACGCTCAGGTTCGGGCGTCTGTGGTTGATCGCAGGCATGACTCTGCACTGAACCGAAGCCCCCAGCTCGGCTAGAACACGTGTCCTGCCGTCAGCATGTCCCACAGACGTGGCCACGGGGCCGGCTGGGGACGCGGAAAGCCACCCGCGCACCCACGAGCACCCCGGCTGCCTCGGAGGGGAGCGCCAGCTGGAAATGGATCTGTTCCTTCTGCAGGACCTCGCCGCACGCGTGCCTGTCCGGGAGTCCCAGAACCGCTCCAGCTGTGAGTTTGCAAGGCCTCAACCCAGGACCTGTGATTGTGAGCTCAGGACTTTAAGACCACGAAGCACTGCTCGGTTTGCCGAATGCCCAGTGGTCAGTTCCCAGCTGGGGAGACGGTGGGGATGGTAAGCTAACCCTGCCCAGGGGGGAGCGGCAGGTCTGGAGCCCCCGCTGAGTCAGGTGAGGGACTGGCCCCGCCTGTCCCCTACTCTCCTCCAGGCCTCCTGTGGAGGGGCAGTCACACCCGCTCTGCTGCCCCCTGCTGGCCGGGGGGGGGGGGGGCTGGGTGCACCTGTGCTGATGGGCCAGCCCTGCGGGAACCAGCGACACCCACTCATCATTGCCAGGATGCCATGGCCAGACAGCCCGTGGAGGAAAGGGACACTCCTCTGGCCGAGAGAATATGGGAGTGATTTCCTGCCTCTATTGGCGACACGAGTGGACAGAAGAAAGGCTGTCAGTCGGGGTTTCATTTTACCCCGTGGCAGGGAAGCACGCGGGCGGTGTGCGTGTCTCTCACCCCCTGCGAGCCCGGCTCTGACGGCTCAGAGACAGGTCCCAGACCCACCTCACATGAGAAGGGACTTCTCAAAGGTGATGGTTCCAATATTTCTCATCTCAAATGCGTGTCTCACCACCTCACGCCGACACGCCTCCCCTAAGGGGTGGGACGGGGGTCCTCTCTCCTTGACCCCGGGCTGACCTTTGTGACACTGGATCAGCAGGGGGCAGAGAAGTGAGGCTGTGTCACCTCTGAGGCCAAGGCTGTACACAGGCCCGCCCGTCCCCTGCTCCCAGGCCACGCAGGAAGTCTGGCCCACAGTCGACATCCACCTTGACCGTGGCTCAGGCCGCACCAGGCCCGGGGGTCAGGTCACCCCAGCCTCTGTCCTTCCAGACGAGGACCTGGGCGCCGGGGCCCGGGCAAGCCTCCCACCCTGGTGGCTCCAACTCAGTGCATTGCTCCTGCGTGTCACTCCCTGTGGGGTGGGCTACCCTGCACCAACGATTCTTCAGGATTCTGTTCAAGGAGAGGGAATTCAATGGCTCAGGTGACAGATTAAAGGGACAGTTCTTATTTTATTTTTTTTATGACAAGGAATATCCCATCAGGCACCCATATGGTAAGGCATGTTTATTTACTTAGCATGTGAATGGCCCGGCCGGCGATTTCTCTTTGCCTTGTCCAGAGCTGGTCCCCCCCCCCACTCCCCAGCAACTAATGTGTGGAGCAAGCAAATCCATGCCAGCAGAAATGAGTGCCATCTGCAGAGAGAGACAGAGAAACACAGAGACAGACAAAGGCAGAGACAGTGAGAGATAGGGAGATAGAGCTAGAGAGGATAGAGCTAGAGATGAGATGACAGAGATAGAGAGAGAGAGGAAAAGAGGGAGGGGGGGATACTTATTTTATGAATATTCACACCATTTTATTTGCCTCTTGCAATGCTCACCCTTTCGATTTTGTACCACGGCCAGTGTGGCACTTGGTATCTCTGATACCCAGCAGACCTGGTGACTTGTGATGTCCGTGGTCTGTCGGCGGCTGGGCACGGACTGGCCCCATTATGGTATGGCCCCATTATTGAGTGCAGACAGTCTGCCTTTAAATGGGCCACGTGTGTCCCACATCCTGCCACCATGGCTCCCGAGGCGGCCTCAGGACTCCTTCCCATGGTGGCGCCCGGCCATCTCCAAGGTTAGGCTGCACTTGCGCTGGTTTAACTCCCCGAACTTCGCTGCATTCAATCTCCCGGGACACCACCTCCGCACCCCCATCCCCCCTGCACCCGGTGATGGCACTAGTTACATTTCATTTGCATCGGCATTTGCAATAGGTTACATGTCAGACAGCAGAGGAGCGAGGCTGTGCTACCCCAGGGAAACCTACTGCTTATCTTTAAGGAGAGGTGCAGGTTTAATTAAGACATACACATCTAAGGTTCACCCCCGCAATTAGACGCCCGGCGTCTGCGATTGGCATGCACTAATTACGCTCTAATCAGCAAAGGCGCTGCCCCCCTGGGATGACTGCGTCGCCCACCCAATGACCGAAGCTCGTCCTGCCCGCCAGGCCTCGGGCCAGCGTGCCCTCGGCTCTCCGAGTTCACAGGGACATCAGAGGGCGGAGGGGCCAGGCCGTGCACGCGCCTACTGCGGAAGCCCTACTGCGTTAGCCAAGAAGGTCGAGTAACACGCACAGTTTATGTTGAGACGCTGCCATGTGCCAGCCCGCTGGGCTGTCTGACGCCGTTAGCTAACCTGGCACATCGTTCGCAGGGCTGCTTTCTGTCCCGGCTGGCGAACTTCCTTTGAAAAGTCTAACTTTCTGGGGATTCTGTTTGCTGTTATTTCTTAGATTTTATTACAGTAAAGGAAACGAACTCAGCCCCGCCCTAAGGTTCCGAATGCGGTGGGAGTACCGGCTGCAGCTGGACGGGCCGGCGGAAGAAGCAGGAGAAGGTAGGACACTCTTCCCGCCCCACCCGACATGCGGAAATGGCCCGGGGGCCTGCTGGGTCCAGGCCCCACGCCACCTGCCCCCGTGGACCGCAGCCCTGGGCGCGGGCTGCTCGTGGCTTCCGCGGGCAGAGCGGGGCGTTCAGGGTCAGCTCGCAGCAGCCTTTCAGGGGGAAAGACCACAGTGAGGACCCCTTGGCAGTTCCTGTCACGCGTCCTGAAAGGTCTGTCCCGCACGATCAACCCAACAGGGAAGGTCTGGACCGTGGAGAACGGCAGCACCGAACGCTTGTCCTCAGGACTGTGGAGGGGCCTGGGAGCTTTCTGCTCGAGCTTCTGCAAGGCCCCCCCCCCGCCCCCCCCCCCCCCCCCACACACAGAGCGACCTGCAGTGAAGCAGCCACACCGAGCCCATCACCCCCACCGGCAGAACCTGGAGTCCCCACTGTGGGACCAACTCCCCCGTTCTCCGCCCGGCCACCCAGCCCCGCCCCCACACGGCAGCCCCGCTTTCTGCTCTGAGTTACCACTGGTCACCCCGACCTGCGGGCTGCATGCTGGGCCCCGACTTCACCTGTCGCTTTGCCAGCCTATGTGGTCATGTCACCCTCCTCCTCCCTCCTTTTTCCTTCTCCCACAGGCCGTCCCCCCTGCAGCACGTTCTCCACTGCTAGCCGCAGAGTTTGTTTTCCTCTCTGATTCCGGAACCTTCCTTGGCGCCGATGTCAGAGGATTCCTTAGTGGGGTCGGGGCAGCCAGCAATGAGCTCCTCGGGTCAGCGGCCGCCGCCCTCGCCCTGCAGCCCGCGTCTTGCCTGGCCCCAGGCATGGAAAACACACTCATTAACGAGGTGTCCACTACGTAAGTGACCGGATGAGCAGTGTGCTTTGCATTTCATTCCGGGCAGCAAAATGGAAGTAGATTATGACCCCAAAATGTTAACTGTTAGCTAAACCCAGGTTGCAGACGGTGAATAATTCCTGGTATAATACCTACACTTTCCTTCATTTCTCAAAGTTCACATGACACCAATAATCAGGAAAAGCGGAGGATTGGCTTCCTAACCAGGCCGGCCAGCCAGTGACGCTGAGCACTCACCGGCGAGCGCCTTTCCCGCGGACGCCGTGCACACCACTAGTTCCTGTGTGAGTGTGCGAATGCGTGTAACACAAATTACCCCTGGGATTCCCATGCTTTGGTGTGTGTTTTGTTCATTTATTTTGGCCTAATTCATTAGCCTAAGTTTCCCATGCATTTCATAGCTGTAAATCTTGCCCATTTTGTTGGGAATAAATCTTTGCTATTATATACTCGACACTGATTAAAATGTATCCATCCTTTCTCTGCTTTTGGTAATAGCTCCCTTGCCCCACCCTTCTTCCCATAAAAACCTTCCACCTGTACACACCCCCCGCCCCTGCCCCCACACACAGGGCCCTTGTAGTTGCTGGGTGCATGATGCTCCATTCATGAATAAAGCCAATGAGACCCTGAGAGTTATTGGGTTGAATTTTGGGTTTTATCCAGTGAAATCTCATAAGCTCCTAAGGTGCTCAGTTCGCTTGTGTGGCCCTCTGTTTGAGCAGCCGTGGATATTCGACTCTAAGCTGAATTTGGTACCAACCCACCACGCTAAGAAATGACTCAACCACAGGTCATGTAACAGTCAACGACCCCAATGTCTGGGCTGCAGGGCTGGACCCTGACACCAGACGAGAAGAGGCCGGCAGTGACTCATGTGCCAGCTGCATACACCGAGTTACAGTTCTCACAGGAGAAAAACCCCGTCACGCCGTTAATTAGCCACATGCCCGCTTTAAAAACGTTGATGCCAGACGATAAACAACTCTTCAGCTCCTGTAAACATCTAAACCAGCGGTTCTCAACCTTCCTAACACCGCAACCCTTTAATACAGTTCCTCATGTTGTGGTGACCCCCAATTTCATTGTTACAAATTGAACATAATTAGAGCATAGTGATTAATCACAAAAACAATATGTAATTATATATGTGTTTTCCGATGGTCTTAGGCGACCCCTGTGAAAGGGTCATTCGACCCCCAAAGGGGTCGCGACCCACAGGTTGAGAACCTCTGATCTAAACAAAATCGCAATCACTGTAACTAATGTACAGCTTTGTTTCTCAGTAATTGGGTATAACAAACATTTTACTCATCTTATGGCATGGAATGCGAATATTAATCTCAGAGACATCATAGCACATTCTCAACTTAAAATCCTAAACGTCAACAAGGTCTTTCCTGTGCTAACCCACAAGAAATGTATTTCACAAGCGCTCCCCAGCGTCTGGCCGATTCCAGAATCACCCAAAATTAAAACACTGGGAAGTATTTCCACCGGATTTCCTCCCCGTCAGCAGAACCTCCCAATGTCAACGGGACACGCCTTACTTCAAGGATGGAGATCCCTATTGATTAGATCCTTCGAAAATATCGGCTAACGGAACTGATGAATCACACAGAACCCGCCATAGAATGCGACCATCACTCACTCCCTGGAAGTATAGCTCACTGTGCACACGGCCGGCCTTGGGAACACCAGTGACAAGAGTGTGAATGAAGGCAAGACAGCCTCTGCCTCCTGGCATGTCCACTGGAGAAGATATGACAGAAACCGTGATGGAGACGCCAGGACACTGGCAGGTAGACCCAAGTCCCTGAGTGAGGAGCGTGACAGCGGGGGGACCCCACAGTCCTCAGGGAAGGCCGCTGTGAGGAAGGGGCTGGAGCCCCTACACAGGGTCGGAGCATGAGCCTCTGGGAGCAGGGAGAGGGTTCCAGACAGAGGGGCAGGGGCTCAGGCCCGGGGAGGAGGACACGGGATGCAGGTCCTGGGGAGGAGGATGCAGGAGGCCTCCAGGCGCGGCCTGGCTGCGGGTGAGAAGGGCTTGGAGGATGGGAGGGACTTCTCAGGGCAGGTCCTGTGGGCGCTGCAGCTGTGTGACAAGCAGGGAGGGACTTCTCAGGGCAGGTCCTGTGGGCGCTGCAGCTGTGTGACAAGCAGGTGAGAAGCCATTCAAGGGGTTTGAGCAGAGGAGGGACGGGGTCTGACTTAGGTTCTGAGTTGGTCTCTCTGGGGGGTTGGAACAGCCGCCAAGAGGGAAGGGAGAGCGGGGTTGGGGCAGCTTGGCCCGGCTGGGGCCGGGTCAGGTTCTGGGAAGCCGTGAAGGGAGTGTGCGCAGGATTTGCTGATGGGGAGCATGTCTGCTGCCGAGAAAGAAGAGTCTGGGTGACCCGAGGTGCGCCTGGGTGACCCCGTGTGCAGGTGATGAGGCCTGAGGCAGAAGAAAGATGGAGCATTTGTGCTTGGACGCAGGAAGTGTGGTCGCCCAGCAGAAACCGGGGGAAGGCAGGGAGGCAGGCGGAGGGCTGATTGTGGGGTTCAGAGGAGAAGTCGAGTCTCTGGTGAGTACTTAATCAGTTACGAGCGGATGAGACTCCCTCGGAGGGAGTGTGGGTAGAGAAGATTGGGGGGAAGGGGACCTAGGACCCAGCCCTGGGGGAACCCCACCTTTAGACTGAGGCCTTAGAAATGACGCGAAACTGTGGTAGCACCCAATACCGCAGAGTATCCTACGACTGATCTTAAGAACGTAGCCGTCAGCAAAGTGAACTGGCCATCAATGGTGGCTTTGCCATATTGTTTATGTAAATCAAATACCTCAAACACACAGCATAAATGGATCCCACTGCACATTGTTAGCAGGGTTTACTATCCCTGCTACTACGGTCCCTATGAGGCTACTGTTAATTGGCGAGCATTCAGAGGTTCAATCCAACAATGACGGTGTTTCCGTCAAATCTAAGCTGCACCTTTCCCCGCATTTCACGCCTCTCACAGCGGGACGTGGCGCCCGGGGGATGGCGCCTTGCAGTTATAACTGGTGGCATTTCCCTTCTGAGATGCCCGTGGCAGCTTAGATCTGAGTAAATTATATGTATTTCTAAGTAGCAGCTCCTTTTCTGCCCCCGCTGAGGTAAGACTAGATGAGGTGGGGTCCCACACAGCTGCCGCCTGGGACGAGTGTCTATTGGGGTGAGGAGCCCCGTGACCCCAGGAAGGAGAGGGCAGTGGCAGGCGGCCAGAGGGCTGCCCTATTGGCAGGCTGGCTACCCCCCCCCCCCCCGCCCCACTCTGACCTGCAGGGACCTGAGCTGGGGAGGAAGGCAGACATGGCCTTACACTGCCCAGAGGCTGGCACTGGCTGCTCCTGCAGACATCTCCCCGGATTTTCACATCCCGAAGAGCAGCCACGGCTCCGTCCCTGCTCATCCCCAGAATTCAACAACCCCCCACGTGCAGCCTGTGCTCTATGATTTGTAACGATTTAACCCCCGCCCCCACTATCTGGGTGTCAGGACTGGCGCCCCGCCTGGAGATGGGCTGGTTGAAGGTGACTCTCTGGTGACCTCGCAGGAGGAGTGTTATCCCAGCGCCCAGCCCAACATCCTGGGCCGTCGCCATGGAAACGCAGAGGAGCACTCAGATCCTCGCGTGGAAACGGGAAAGCGCACATCAGGGGAACAGCACGCGTGGCATCTGCAGACAGGACAGTGTCCTGTGCGAGGACACCGGCAGCTTAATAACCTGCCGAGGAAGGCAGAGACAGCACGAGGCTGCAATTTACTCCTGGCGCGGGGGCAGCGAGGGTCACGGCGGAGGTACCCAGCAGCCAGAATTCACCTCCCTCCTCCCACAGCCCCTGCTCACGGCCCCTGCTCACCGCTCCCCTGCTCGCTGCCCCTCTGCTCTTTGTGTCCCTGCTCTGTGATGTTTCCAGCTCACACATCTAACTTGCTCTTCTCCTAACCCTCCCCCTGCATGAGGTCTGTGTGCCACAGTCCCTGCAAGAATGTCCTCAGGAATTAAAAAAAACCTCACCTTTTAAAAATGAAGCCATAAGACCCTTTGCATCCCCCTGAGGCCATTGGTGAAGAGGTGTGTGCCGCAGTGGAAACGGGGTGGGGGGGTAGGGGGGCAGGGGGAGCCCTGAAAGTGAACTGAAAATGCATTTGAAACACAGGGGCTGCAGTGGTCATGGGAAGTTGCCTGGGGGCAGGGCCGAGTCCCCCTCTCCTTGGGCACTGGGGCTATGTGCCCTCTGAGGAGAATTCTGAGTCTAAGCAGGTGGCGCCGAGAGTGACTATGGTCCCACACTCGCTTGCTCTCGGGGCTGCGGCATCTCTGAGACGGTGCCGGGGGCTCTCCGCGCGGATGGGGAGGAGCCACTGCCCAGGGGCGCTCGGCAGGGCGGTGGGAACAGGCCAGCAGCACCCGCAGAGCCACGTGGACACACACGGTCAGGGCGGCACCAACCAGTACCGGCTGGGGCAGCAACAGAAGCTGAGAGTGGGAGCTACTGGAATTTCCTGGAGTGTGAGGAGGTACCATCAGGGCACCCCAGAGTCCCTCAAACAAGGATTTTACATTCCTTCTATTATTAACATTTTATTTATTGATGTGCGAGACAGAGAGGAAGGGGAGACAGCCATGGAGAGGGGCGATGGTTGTATGTTCACAGCACATGCATCCCAGCGCGCCTGGCCCCGCGGCTGCTGGCGAGGCCCACAGGCCTGGCCCTAGGAGGTCCCCCTGCCTCTCCAGGGAGGCCCACGAGGCCTTAGCAGGGGATGCGCCAGGACAGCTACGTGTGACCCCTCGCAGCCTCGGGGACCTGCGCTCCCGCTGCAGGTCAGGATGTCCGAGGCCTCCCCCCTCTGCAGCCGGTGCGGGGTGCGGGTTCCCCTGGGCCGCCTGCCGTTTACAAGCAGCCCTTTCCCAGAAGCAACACTGTTTTAGCGTTTAGATTGGGAAGCAGCTCTTGTTGCCTGGGATAACGATCTCTAGGCACCGGCCTAGTTGGGGGAAATCCTAGGGAAGCAGCCTCCTTCTACATAACCTTTCTGATTGAGATGCAAATGCAATGACTGACGTGTCCCGCTGGGAAGGGGCCCCTCTCCTGCTGAGAGCGCTCAGCATTTGTGATGGTTCAGGCCCACGCCCAACTCCAGCAAAGGACAGGGAACACATCGGAGGAACAGCGCCATTCCCCACCGTGGGCTGGTTACCGCGCTCTCATAAGCAGCACATCAATCCGCACAGACCATCACTCAAAGCCGTTTTAAATCCTCACACCGCCAGGGGCACCCCCTTCCCGCCCCTGGTCCCCGGTGTCCTCCTGCGGCCCTTTGAGCCGCTGCCTGCGTGAAGGGTGCCTGCCCTTCCCCAGGGAAAAGGCGACACTTTGGTTAATGCACGGCGCGTGCGGCGGGCGCGAGGAGAGTGTA